TTTTATCCCCGCCATTAACTCATGTACACACCGTTTTTATTATGTTAATCTTCCAATTTCTACTAACGCTTCACTCACGACATGTCAGAGCGACAGGTATGTACATTTTTAACACTGCGACTTACTGGTCTGTAATGCTCCGTAAATAATAATTTGTGATTGTAATTTTAATACTGATACATTGCGTTTTTTAACATATTAATATCGCAATTGCGACTCTGATTCACGGTTTAGAAAGGACAATAATCGAATCTCTCCTTTCTATCTGGTCTTCCAACCCAGGAGTAAACGTCGAAGGTGCGATCGATTCGGAGCATTTGCATATCCTGACAGACTACCGAACATTCGTATGATTTTTATTTTATTGATTTGACTGCGCTTTTCTACTGATTGACTCATTTTATCGCGATTGACTGTAATTTATCGTTTGAAATTTTCATGTATTATTTTCATTTTTACGCTGAAGATGACACAAAAAAGTGTTGAAACGTCCGAATTTGTATTAACTAATATATTTTATTATTGACTTATTTTGATTGCGCATTAATTACCACGCGTGGCTCTGATTGCCTCTCTCACTTCCCTTTATTTGATTTATTCAGGAGAGCCTATATATATTTCGTTTATTCAATTTTTAATTTATATTTGTGTATGCATATAATTTTTCCTTGCTTAATATTTAAATTATGTAGAGATCCATTTATGAGAAATTCAACGTAGGGAAAGCCACCGCGTTAAATGCTGGAAATTGGAATATCGTTACAATTTTTCCGTCTATAATTCGATTCGACGACATGTTTGTTGATATGCAATTCGCTAACAATGCGTTCCGAAATGAACGTAAGCGCTTACGCTTGATCACGCTCACACTGCCCTACCTTGCAGAAATAAGCGTTTGTCAGCAGAAGTTATGACGTCAACGATGACGTCATTAGTCGATCCGTAAGCGCTTACAACGCCAAAGCGAACGACGTGAGTAATGCTCATAAGCGCTTACAGCACGTGAGCGTCCAAACCGAACGCACCCATTGAAGTACACTGAAAAAAAAATCAATTACATGTGCTATTACGGGGTGCCAAAAACATAAGTAGTTAATTCAATTGTATTATTATTAGACCCAAATATCTGGATTATTAAACCAATAACTTAATTATTATTATTAGATTTGATTATAAAAATAAATAATTTAATTATTGGTTTAATAAATCCAGATGTGTTTGGCACTCCGTGTGTTTGAGCGCGCGCGATGGTTGGTCAGGAACGGGAGGATCGGTTTTGGATCTCGACAGAGTTCTGATTTTAATAACGATGAGTTTATTTTCACAAACAGTCTACAAGAAAGTTCTCGAATGATCACAATTTTTGTTTCAGATTCGCGACAACTTGCTTTACGAGAGACGACGGTGTCTATTGCGAGCGAGAGCGAACAAGTCCTCTTCCATTACCGCGCTACATTTATTTATAAGTTCGGTGACGGTGTGACGTCTCATCCATCAGACCAATGGACTCGCTTCCCTTGAAGGAATTGGCGGTCACCGCGTAGCGTCGCGTTGCATAATATAGGACCGGAGCTGGTTACGTCACGTCTCCACGCCGATTTCCGTGACGGGGTTGGTGGATGAGACGTCACGTGATGGAAGCGCACGTGCTTGGAGCACTCCGCTATACGGAGGCTGTCCTGATTGCCGTTGGTTGTTGTCAATTTCACCGCGTGACTTTTCGACTTTACCTCCGACTCACCAATGACAAACAGGAGGAATAACAAATAATACGGTGTTTTTCCTTTCACCAAATTCTCTCGACATGTCTCGAGAAGAAAACCATCGACGTCTCTTTGCGTTATTGCCCGATTCTAATTCTACTTTCGGACACCGTGATAGCACTTTAATTGAAGCAACAACTTTTTTTCTTAGTGTATAAGAAAAGTGATAATATTTATAATATATTTATATATATTTATGATATATTTATTTATATTTATAATATTTATTTACATGTTCTGGACATTTATACGACTTTTTGCATCATTCAAAGACTTGCGTTTCGAACATGATCTTTTGCGTTTCAAACATGCCTTAGTAGATGCGGAAACTGACACATTTTCTTCAGAGAACGAGGAATGAAACGTAAACGTTTCGATGCACTAAAAAAATTTTTATATAAAAACATATTTAAATGGTAAATGTTTACAATTAAGGCCCCACTTCAGATGACCTTGACCTTGACATATGTTGTCAAGGTCACCCTCCTGAGTGACCTTCAGAAGGTTTTAGTCGGGGGTCGCTTCTTATTACAAAGTTATAAACAAAAAAAGTTTGGAAAATATAGCAGCTATTTTGAGTATTGGAAGGCATAAATGACTAATATATATGTCGAAATAGTTCGCGCATACACTTTTCACGCAAACCGAGGTTTACGCACACCTCCCCTGCTTTCGGGGGAGGTGCGGTAGTCCCGAAATAGTTCACGCATACACTTTTCACGCGAACCGAGGTTCACGCACACCCCCCCCCCTGCTTTCGGGGGAGGTGCGGTAGTCCCGAAATAGTTCACGCATACACTTTCCACGCGAACCGAGGTTCACGCACCCCCCCCTGCTTTTGGGGGAGGTGCGGTAGCCCCGAAATAGTTCACGCATACACTTTTCACGCGAACCAAGGTTCACGCACACCCCCCCTGCTTCGGGCCGGCCCGAACTATTTCGGGGCTACCGCACCTCCCCCGAAAGCAGGGGGAGGGGTGTGGGTGAACCTCGGTTCGCGTGGAAAGTGTATGCGTGAACTTTTCATGCGTGGAAAGTTAATATGCGAGATGCCACATGTGTTAGATAACGCGCTTTAAAAGTATTCAACTGTTTAAAGCGCGTCATCTAACCCATGTAAGTATTCTCTGCTTTAACAAAAAGACTTCAATTTATCAACAATTTACTACTTTAAATGTTGTGTTTTGGTAAAGCAGCGACTTTCTCGCGAAATAAAGTATTCTCTGCTTTAAAGAAAAACGTAATATTAGTCGTTTACGCCTCTCAGTACTTAAAATAACGGCTATATTTTTGAAACTTTTTTTGTTTATAACTTTTTAATAAGAAGCGACCCCCAACTAAAACTTTCTGAAGGTCACTCAGGAAAGTGACCTTAACAACATATGTCAAGGTCAAGGTCATCGGAGGTGGGGCCTTAATTGTACACATTTACCTTTCTTTTTTTTGTATGATCTTTGTTCGTGTGTACAAGACAAATAATAAGAAAAAGAATTAAAAAATAATTAAAAGGATAATTTTTGCATTAAAAAAAATAAATAGTCTGTGCAAATGTGAAAAACTAGTTCATATATAATCATATATAATCATATTATTTTCTAATTCTTTTTCTTATTATTTTTCCCGTACATACAAACAGAGATTATATACAGAAGAAAAAAAAACTTATATATAAACATATTTTATATGATATTTTATATAATATTATATAATTATATATATTTAGATATTTGTTTTATATAAAAATTTTTTATCGTGACGTTTCGGCACGTACTGTTGTCGCCAAGTTAACACTTGAATATTGAAACGGATCGTCACGTGACCCACCGATGATGGAACACAAGCGCCGCGAGTGGTAACATTTAACACTCAACTTTCGCCCAAAATCAGGCCAGGTTTTTGCGGGTACCAAGTATGGAAATCAGTCTTCTTATATCTTACTCCCTGATCAGTACTATGGTTAATTAACTTAATTATTTCTTCTTATTTTCAGGTTTCCATCACGGATGCCTCGTCTGCGTCGCCGACCCATGGATCATTGATGCTGACCACCGACCAGGATCAACACACGAACAAGATAGACGACCACCGCTCGACCGAGGTAAGTATAAGTATCGTGGTTAATTAACTTAATTAATACTGCTTATTTTCAGGTTCCCGCCACGGATGGCTCATCTGCGTCATCGACTGTTGAAGCACCGATGATAATCTCCGACCCGGATCAACTCCTGCCCAAGATGGCTGACATCCGCTTGATCAGGTAAGTAGAAGGTAAGTAATTGATAATTCCGTAGATATTTTCACAAATGATTATTCCATTTATTCAGAATATTTGTTTCACACAGATGGTTGTTCACAATTATCGATCCCGCGCAAGATAGCGGTCGCACGTCTCGCCAAGTGCGTAATTTCGTATTCTAAGCTGGCACTATAATGCCGTTCGCCTTCGTAATGACGAATGTTAACGCGTTATGCGGGCGTTCCCGGTTATTTTGGACGTCGAGGTAATCTTATTTCGTAACTCCGGTAATTATCGCGGGACTTAGCACGACACACCGAGATATACGCGCGAGATAGGTGTTACCTCTGCGATCGCCCCCGAGAGACTGCCTCGAGTGTCGTCGCTCGCTGTGGCCCCCCACCTTCGAGGTTTTACCCCCACCACGGCTCCATGGCCGCTTTCTCTTTCTGTAATTTTTCACGCGACGCAATAACAAGAGTTGTTTACCACTTGCGAACGTGCCAGATGTTCCCGACGGAAAATTCCACGCGCCTCGCCTTACGGACGACGCACTTTCTCGCCCGGGTAGTGGTTTTCCACCCCCTTTATTTTTCGGATTTCTACGACGCCGACCTGCGCGCACGTCGTCTCCGACGCTTCTATAAACGTTTCCGGACCGACTTCCTGGAGAAGATGTCCAGGTATACTTCGCGGTGTCTGCCGTTGAAGGCAACCTCCGGTGATCGCTTCCCCAATCCTTAATCGCTAGATTCGGCGCGTTGTTCTTGTAGCCAATATCCGGGTAGCGAGTTTGTGGACCGTCCCCGTAACTTCCGTCCGGACGGTCGGATTTCGACGGCAATCGGTTCCCCGGGTGTCCCAGGTCATGTTCTCGAATCATCGCATGGTTTTCCCTGGGGATAACGCCTGGTCCGCAATCTCCTTACCTGGTGCCCGGATCGCGACGCTATCCGGCCCTGGCTCTATTTTGCGCCGCTGCGGTGCGTCATGGATGATTTTCCGCTGCGCGCGCCGCTCGGTTAGGCAATTTGTGTCCGCGGGCTCGCATCGTATCTCCCGGCCACCCTGATTCCGTATCTCGGCTCGCTTTCACGTCCGGGAGCCCTCCGTATGAAGCTCGCGTGTGGCCCGCCGCCTGAATTGTCCACGCTATGTCTCGATCCACGCGCCATCAAAACGAACAAATAAATTTTCACGGCCGAGCCGGGCACCTAAGTGCCAAGGAAAACTAAATGTATATGGCTCGGCAAAAGTAATTCTTACACCCAGGTGTGCCGTAGCTCGGTGCACGTTGTCGCGCTACTTAACCCTAACTTACTTACTACCGCGTCGGACGGAACTAGTCGATGGAGGCCCTCCGCGCTTCCCCGCGTGGGTTGCGTGGTTGTCCTCGTTCCCCTCGGTTGCCGACATAACGCATACGGTTGCAAGGTGAGCCTTATATTGTATTGCTGGCAAAGATATGTCTTGCGAATGTCATGATTTTGCTTCGCCGAAGGTTTGCTCATATTAGCCTCCAACTAAAATTTACTTACGAGTTAGTCTTACCATTATGCGCCGCTTAGCGGCGTCGTTGCAAACTAGCATAAAAAAATGCGCTACCATGCATTTTTCTTAATTAAGAATATTTCATAATATTTCAAAAATATTTGAAAAAAAGTTTATAGAACCAATAATAAATTATAATAAATTTAAAATATTTTTTAAATATTTTGGAACAAGATTATAAAACAATAAATATGTAGATTTGAATTAATATTTCAAAAATATATTTCAAATATTTAAGAAAATATTGTCTGAGTGATAAAGAACATTTAAAAAAATTTTTTTAAAAGATTCTTAAAATATTCTTAAAAATGTTATCACAAAAGGTTTTTAAACTATTTTAAAATGTTTCTTACAATGTTTTTATAGAAATATGTAGAAATATTTTTTAAAAATATTGGTAAAACTCCACAATTAGGGCCTATACGAGAAATCAATTGGCAGGGGGTAAATCTTATGTATTCTTGCCCTCTGAATCCGAAATTGTTGATAAAACTTAGAGGTCGCTTGTATTTTCTAAGATAAGATGTATACTTTAGGGTCCGACGAAAAATCAAGTAAACACAGATCTCGTGTTGTCACGATACGAAAATCATAACAAACACATAACAGCTCCAAATTTTATCAGGCTTGTTCAAGGAAGGTATAAGCAATTCTTCTTCCAGTTATGATCTAAGATATTGACAGTAGGGTAAAGTGCATATTTCGGATCAGATTCTTAATTCGGATCAGCAGTAATGCCTCTCTAACCGACTGTACCTATCATATGTGGATTTTTTTCGCTAGTTGTCTATAAGGGATAGCTATAGACAATAGCGAAAAAAATCCACATATGATAAATACAGCCGGCTAGAGAGGCATTACAAATTTGCTGATCTGCATTTATAAAATCTGATCCGAAATGTGCACTTTATCCTACACATATAGGCGGGAGAGGGGCTGCCGCCCCTCTCCCGCAAGCAGAGGTTGGTGGGGGACCTCGCTTTGCGTGGAAAGTATAATGCTGTCCAGAAAACCATTCACGCGAAGCGAGGTTCACTCCATCCCACCCCATATCTGCTTATAGGGCAAAACGAGATTTATCATTGAACGGTTCGCGTTTTCAACTTTCTAGGCGAAACAAGGTCCACTCCCACCCTTCTCTGCTTGCGGGGGAGGGGCTACCGCTCCTCTCCCGCTTAAGTGTGCACTGTCTATACACACATATCAGTAAATTACTTCCCTTAGCATTGACAGAACCGACAAAACTCTTATATTTCTCTATTTTTGTTCATAACTTTTAAATAAGCAATGACCGCCGATTAAGTTTCAAGGAAAAGTGTTACTCAGGGTCATGTCCTTGACAATATATTACAAAATTATGGAAATTGGGAGTGGCTCCTTAATACTAAATATTTACCGCATTTTTTCTCATTTTCATGACGATATCTTAGAAAATACAAGCGACCCCCAAGTTTTATCAAACAGTTTCGGATTCAGGGGACAAGAATACATAAGATTTACTTCCAATTAATTTCTCGTATAGGCCGTAATTGTGGAGTTTTACCAAAATATTTTTTGCTGTATGGGTAGTTTATCTCATAGTGTTCTCTTTTTAATCTTATCACAACATAGCCTAATTAACATAATAATTGCAATAATTTTATATTGACAAATTTTATGTGAATTTAAAGAAATACACACACACGCGCGCGCGCGCGCACGCATATAGTTATTTAATCAATTTTTTAGCAATTCTACGTTTACTACCATTTCAAATTATATGTACGGAGAGTTTAGGATTTCTCTCCATTTAATTTACATTTATCGATTAAATTTATTTCATAGACTTATTTTGGTCAGTATCAAACTTTTGTATTAGTTCCAACACACGATCGTATAAAAGAGTTTTCGCGTTGATTGCCCACACGAAATCTGCATGATTGAAAAGTTTAAATGGAACTTTCTCAGTTAGAAGAACATTTGGTAAGTGTTTGCCAAGTTCCAACGCATTCTGAAAATCAAAAACCCAATAATGAATGAAAGAACGATATTAATAACGAGATGATTTAAATACATGAAGAGTAGAAAATCGACCTGATTGATATAAATCAGCTGTTTTTCTTTTTATACTTTGCATTACATTTAATCGGATTCTTTCGTATTGTTAACAATTTACGTGATTACCATTTCATCATGTTTGTGTAAATATTTCTTTCTTTTGCTTTTACTTGTGAGTAAAAATTAGACAATAAAAAACTTAACGTAACTGTTACCTCTTCTGTGACAATCATATCATTTGTTGAGTAAAATATAATTATTGGAGCAATTATCTTTTTGAGATCATAACTTGGGGGTGTTTTCTGTTTGTATCGCTTATAGTTTTCAGCTATTCCATAATCATAGTTTCTAAAGTCATCTGCAACAAGCAACAATCAATATTAAATTAATCGTACATCTAGAAATGCGTGCCTATAACTTAAAAATATATTTGAAAAAAAATTAAATAATTACATGCATATAATTATAAATTAACCTGTAGTAGAAAATTATGTAAATAATTAATTTACATCCTTCAGTAATATTTTATCTTAAACGACAAGAAATGTTTATTGTAACATCACATCAACTAGAATATTGCTTTATAAAAGAGAATTCCCTTATGGAAAAATACACTCAACTTTTGGTGTTAACCGTTAAAAAGACACCATAGAAAAACCCTTAAAATTGGGTGTGATTTTGGACCGCTAATTGAAGATTAACCATCATTTGAAAGTTAACCTTCAATTGGCGGTCCGAAATCACACCCAACTTTTTAAGGGTTATCCTTTGGATGATGGTTAACCTTCAAGTGATAGTTAACTTTCAATTAAAAGTTAATCCTTAACCCTTAGTCTGCAAACATGGGTCGTTTTCGTCCGGGCAAAAATCAAATGTAGTTGTAACTTTTGAACACGGGAAGGGAGGGTGCTACTATGCCTCCGTAAAAAAAAATTATGCTCCTTGAGGACCCGCTTACCGACTTTCACCGTGCCCTTCCACCTCCGGCCGTCGCAGCAGACACTTGAATTCTTCTCCGGACGAAAACGACCCACCTTTTGAGTCAACGTTAGTCAAAACTGTAAATAACTTTTTTTTGTTTTTCCGTTTTAAAGTATTCATTGTGTCCGTAAAAGTGTCACAAAAACATCTGACCGCGAAAAAAAAATTACAAAAATATTTTTGTTCAATTTTTCTAGGAAATGGCGCACGGTCAGGCGAGGAAGTTTCTTGAACATTGCGTCCTCGCGAGGAGAAGAATGTGACCCTTAACTATTGACTTTTTATTGATTTTATTACTAATTTTTGAATTATTATATATTTATTACTGTTTTTACTAGGAAATTTGGGGCTAATTTATTGGCAATTTTGAGGTCGCAAACTTAAGCATTTAATTTCAAAATAATTGCATGCAATATTTTTTTTATGAGAGCTACACTTTTCCCCTTCAATTTTTTTTTATTTGTTTTGATATCTTCATTTGTCTTAAAGTTATGATTTTTTGAGTAAACAAACGACTATACCCCTAGTTGCTTCATTTTTTAAATAAAAATATATTTAAAAAATTAAATTGTTTATAATTTTATGATTGATACTTCAAATTGAAGGTTTGAATTACCTCCACACACGCGCGCGCGCGCGCGCGCGGGGGTGCAAGGGAGAGCCTTCGGCCCCCCTCCCGTACCCACCTCCGCCGGTAGGCAACGTGGACCTCGCTTTATAACTTAAAGTACATACATTTTATACAGAACGCGTCGTGGACGTTTCTCAAATGCACACATCGCGTTGTGGACGATCAGCACCGTCTACAAAAGTACTGACTTGCACGACTACACGTATTAGACAATTGACAAGCGCGCCGGCGACACGTTAGAACGCGAATTCACTAAAAGCAATCAATCAATTCTAGTTTTAACTAAATTATTTTAGTTAAAACGCGAATTTACTAAAGCGGTCAGTTAATTCTAATTTTAACTGAATTATTTTAGTTAAAACGCGAATGTACTAAAGCATTCGGTCAATTCTAGTTTTAACTAAATTCTTTCAGTTAGAACGCGAATTACCGAAAGGGCTTAGTTAAAATTAGAATTTACCAGTAAATTCGGGTTTTGACGGATTTCGGGTTTTAACTGTAACATATATATATAATAAGGTTTTATATTCTGTTTTAGAAAAGAGGGAATACTCACTTATACGTATATTTTGGTAAAAATGCTCTAATGTTTGTGTAGAAGTACCAGCTGGAAGATAGGAGAATAAATCTGGCAGGATTGTCTATAACAGAAATAATTTATATAAATAAAAAGGCATAAAGCGACTGAAACTAGAAAAGGAGATTAGGGAGTGGCTAGAACCGTCACAGTAAGTTTATTTCATTATAAAAAATTAGAAAAATCATAAAATATAAGTATTTACACACATTATAAACATCGTATTACGTTTGACTTTTCCCGGGAAAAAGAAGATTATGTATAATTATAAACATATATATATATGATTATATGTAATTATATATGAAATTTGGTACTTTATATAAAATTATATATGGGTCCATATATCATTATATATGCCATAGACATATATAATGCTAAATATAACTAGATATGAACACTAGATCATATATGCACTCATGTATGGATTAGAGCTGGTGATTTGCTTCGAAAGTTTCGATATTCGAAGCTTCAAAGTTTCAAAAAATATATTTGTGTGAATGGCGAATTCATTTAGAGAACGCTAAAAATATTCTAAATAAAAAGAATTAATTAATATATGTGCTTAAAAAATATATAATTATTCCTAAATTACAATTTTGAAGTATTATAACTAGAGCTCGGAAAAAGAAACGGATACCCACAGGTGCCCGAGTACCCGCCCGTTCGTCCGTAACCCGTGTATACGGATCTGGATCGGTTCCACGAGTGCCTAGATAATTCGAGTACCCGTACGATGTGGGTATCCGTATCGATGCGGGTACCAGCTACCCGTGTCAATACGGATACCCGCTATACCCGCGTGAATACGGGTATTGACGCGCATATAACAGCGTATGCTACAATGCTACAGATTCTGTATATTACACGGAAACGCGTATTGTGATCTGACATTCGTCGCCATGACATCTGATGGTCGAAAGTGAAAACATTGAGGGCTCACATCTCGTGGCATTGTATTGGCGTGCAGTCGTACCGGCTTTGCGTTGTATTTGTATTATTATGGATGTTAAATTTTATTCTCCGCGTTAAAAATCTATGAGCAGAATTAATTATTCAGTTCGCGGTTGTGAAAATAAGGCTCTAAAAACTTTAAATGTTCGATTTTATTGCTTTTCTAGCCCCAAAATTAGTGCTTTATACACGTCAAACATTTATTTGGCAATTTAGAGAAAATTGATCGTTTTAATAAAGTCTGGAAAAGTGCATTAAAAATGAAAAAAGTGACCCTTTATATGGGAAAGTGTTAGCCGTTTTGCGCCATATTTAGTTAAGCCCCGCCTCCATGTCAGATCCCAATACTTGCTCGGTATTCGGCGATATATATTGATCTTTCGGACACCGAGCCAAAATAATATCGGCTTGTAACTGTAAAACTGACAAGCCTGCCTGTCTAGCTCTCCTTCTTAAAGAAGTAAGTGCGGGAGAAGGAACTCAAGAGGTACCCAGAACTGTTACGAAAGATTAATATATCTCCGCTTACCGAGCAAGTCAAATCTCGCACGGACGTCTCAGACCCACGTATACACTAGATGTCATCTTTTTTCTAAGTAATAATTTTGCTAATTTTATTCAAAGTTCATTAAAGATAAAATATTAAATAAACTATGTTCATCAAAAAACTAAAATCGTCAACTACAATGTAAACAGATGTTTTGTGAATTTTTTCAGATTTTTTAAAATACTTTAAGGGGTCATGCTACCATGCAACTATATTTTTTCGATTTTTTTTTTTTTTTTTTTTTTTTTTTAATTTTCTTTAAGTTTGAAAGTTTCTTAAGAACATTTTGAGCTAAGGCCAATGAGCTAAAAAATGCAATTTTATCACATAAGAAACTTGAGTCTTTTTTCTTTTGTGTTTTTCTTGAAACTACATTTTTCAAGTCGGGCGACGTTGTACAGCCGAAACTAATGGTCCGATTGACTTGAAATTTGGCAGGAATATGTCTAAATAGATTTTTTCCAACCTAGCATAGGACTTTTTGGATATGTTGCACCGTTTTTTAATAACATTTTTTTTTAATTTGTTATTTGGAGGCAAAAACCGATGTTTGATTTTAGAATCGAGCGCATTTCCACAATTTTCGAGAAAATTGAAAACGTTATGCTAGGTTTTAGCTATTTTCTTTATTTACAAGAAAATTCTTTATTTAATGGTTTCAAACTATCTATGTGGGCGTGAAAATGTCGCCCGTCCGTGCAGAGGCAGCGCCGCTTCACAAGAATTACTGTACTGGTCACAATTATTAATAAAATCGAATGAAATTTTTATGACTTATACTTAAAATTATGTAGAATAGACCTCTCAAATGTAAATTAATTTTACGCAATAATTGCGGAGAAAAAAATCTAGATTTTATGCTTGGGTAATACTTAAGGAGAGCTCCTTCCTTACCGATTTCGCTGAATTTAGGCTTAATTGACGCGTTTTTGCACAAAACGAACGAATCTGGCAGAAAAAAGTCCCGCTCTGTCCCACGAAGCGAGATATTAACTGTTAAAGTTGACAACTATCAGGTTATAAAACCTAGCTATCATACCAACGAATCATATTACTGTGTTTCGTTAATCTTAACTTAATATCTGTAACAGAAATAATTTGTTAAAGCAGAGAATAGTTGATATATGAAAAGTACATATTTATGTGTACTTTTCATATACCAACTATTCTCTGTTTTAACAAATTATTTATGTTTTGTTAACTTAAACGCTATCTGTAACAGAAATAATTTATTGTTAAAGCAGAGAATGGTTGGTATATGAAAAGTACATATAAATATGTACTTTTCATATACCAACTATTATCTGCTTTAACAATTTTATTTCTGTTTCGTTAACTTCAACGCTTAATATCTGTAACAGAAATAATTTGTGTTCCAAAATATTCTCTGTTGTAACCAAAACCACAAACTTGAAAACCATATATTAAATTTTATTATTTATTAATTGGATTAAAGTTGAGATCTAACATTTCCTTAAAATACACGTGATAACTGTATACGCGGCTATTAAGCGTTAAAGTTAACGAAACAGAAATAAAATTATTAAAGCAGAGAATAATTAGTATATATATGAAAAATACACATAAATATGTATTTTTCATATATCAACTGTTCTCTGCTTTAACAAATTATTTCTGTTACAGATATTAAGCGTTGAGATTAACGAAACACAGTAATATGATTCGTCGGTATGATAGCTATATAGATTTCATAATCTAGCTGATAGTCGTCAACTTTAACAGTTAATATCTCGCTTCGCGGGGCAGAGCGGGACTTTTTTCTGCCAGATTCGTTCGTTTTGTGCAAAAACGCGTCGATTAAGCCTAAATTCTGCGAAATCGGTGAGGAGGGAGCTCTCCTTAAGTATTACGACCTATGCTTGTTTTGGAGACGGTCATGGTGGCAGACCCCTTAAGGTAGGGAAAATAGTGTTAAACATGATAGACCCATGTATGCACTAAGAAGGTAGCGAAAAAATGGAAAGTTAATAAAAGCATTTTTTCATATATACTTTATCCATTTTTGAAGCGTGCGAGAATTTATGTTTTATTACTCTGCATATACGCGTCTCCGTGTAATATACAGATATCTATAGCATACGCTGTTATACTCGCGTCGATACGGGTATCCAAATTAGGGCTGGTAATTTGCTTCGAAGAATTCGATATTCGAAGCTTCGAAAGTTCGAAGTCAACTTCAAAGCTTCGAATTGTTTCGAAGCTTCGGAGTTTCGAAGTTGTCAAAAATAACAGCCCTAGTATGGACACAGTATAAGTAAGAACAGTAGGTTCACTCCCCTAAGAAGTTGGTAAATTAATATGGCGACTTTGGCAATCAATAACATGGCGGCTATCATCTGACAGTTCATTTGGGTTAGATACATCGGCGCGTTAGTTGAATTGTATTTGTATTTATTTAAAAAAAAATTTTTTTAAATAAAATTATGAGTTATAAAGAAAAAAAAAATAAAAATGCATTTACTTATATTTGTGGATATTTATTAAAACGTTGTTTCGTAAAGCATACATGTAAAACATGTAAATTACTTTTAGAAAAAAATAGTGATGTAAATACCTTAAAATTATATAGTTACTTCAGAGCATATAATAATACAGAAAATACGTTTGGTCGTTTGCTTATTCCAAGTTCTATATTTAAACGTTATATTAAAGAATTGCATACAAAATTTTTTGAAAATTTCTCTATTATTAAACAACCTAACGTAGTGCAAACTTTTATAAATATTCTTTCAAAAATAGAGTTTTCCCATTCATGTTCAAATTTTCCGAGAAATTATTTAGTTAAACTTTATATTTTAGAGTTCGTATATTTTATACTTTGAAATTTATTAACCGAGTTTAAAAAACAAAGGAAACATAATAAAATTATGTATACCTCTCAACTACGACATGTTAACACGCGTTGGTCGTCGCTCCACGATAATGTTCTGCTCCGTAGAAAATTTCAATACTGACAACGCTTCATCGCAGTGGTCACTCGTTTATATTTTTAATGCGTTCTCCACTGTCACCGACTTACACGTGTGAGTTATTTTCTGCTCGCATTTAACTGCATACTTTTTTACATTGCTCACTGACCATTGTTTCCAGCGATCAGTTGATTATTTCGGGCAAAATTTTCGAGAATGCCGACGTTTAAGTTTGTGACAAGGAATAGTTACCAGATTGCTTGATAAGGACCCGATCCGAGGGGTCGAAACGTAGCAACGTTTCAATTTATATTGCCATTAGAAGTCGAAACTAATAAACGTTTCTTGTTGATTATTGTTGGCGGAACAAACCATTCTATTTCTAAAATTATGTATTGTTAATACTAATTATATATTATATAATGCATTTTAAAATTTATATTTTACTTCCAATGTAAATAAATTGTGTATTTTTTACTTACAATGTAAAAAATGTGTATTATTTACTTAAAATATGAATAAAATGTGTCGGGACATTTTTGCTTCAAATATTTAATTAATATAATATTTCTTATATTTTTTTCATTTCTTATATAATTATCAAGCGGTTTCTATTATTCAAATAAACCGCGCATGTATTTTTTACTTATGTACGTGTGTTGTAACATTTTTGCTTCGAATATTTAATTAATATATTTCTTATATTTTTTTTCACTTCTTATATAATTATCAAGCGGTTTCTAGTAAGCGGTTCAAATAAAACACGATCAGGCAATCAACATCATGGCGGACGTTTGCCACGAAGAACAATGGATGTTCTTATACTTATACTGTGGTATGGATAAATGTAAGATTTATATGGAAGTACATATAATCCTACATGATTATATCCCAAGTAGCAAGATGACGTCTAAAGACGTCTTATTGACGTTAGAGGATGTCATTATAAGACGTTATTAACACGTTATTTGACGTTACTCTGCTATCTGGGATATAATATTATACAGGCGATTAAAATATATTTAAATATATATATATAATGTTTTATATACAATTTGACATGATTATATATGAGTTCTTATAATTTATACATAAACTTATATATAAATTATATATAAGAATTTATCCATGTAGATTATATATGATTATATATAACCATATATAAACTTTAAATTCGGATTATCCGATGATGGCATCCGATGGGATTTGTTTCTCGTATTTAAAATTTGACAAACAGTGGTATAAGAAGGGTATCAAGACACAGAAGTACGCCAAGCAGCGTCAAGTTATATATAAATATCATGTAAATCAATTCACTTTTGATTCTAGCTTTTGAAAAAATATAGGGGAGACCGGGGTTAAACCGCTAACGGGGTAAATCTGCAAAATCAAATATCTCGGAACCTGTATATTGTGCGAACTCGCTATTAACATTGTAAATGCCGCTTATGGTACCCATGTGACCAACGGAGTTTCGGCAGGTTATCTGCCGTGTTATGATTATTACGAGGGCATACGTGTTTTTGGAAGGTAAAAGTGAAATTTTCTGCGCGTGGAAATATTGTAATATCTGCAATAATATTTACTCGCCAAATCTCGAGGTACGTGATTATAAAGAGTAATGCATGCTGAACACGAATCCAGTGTAGTTTTTTCATTATCGTTAATGTCTAATATTTCGTGGGCGATCAAATCTGAAACTTATGTTTGGGGCTTATCCGCTAGTGAGCACCCGGGGCTAGTCTTGTCACTGTGGCGCGCCGGGCGCACGACTTCAGCTCACGGCGATTTCAGGTTAGGTTTCCCTCGAGCGGCGTGATTCTGTTTTCCCTTGCACATGCGTCAGTTTGTATAGGAGGGAAATGGTACGTACGTATCGTCGCAAAACGGGTGTTTTGGCCGACCAAAAAGATGGCGGACTGTTGTTTTCGAGATCGCTCGCGCTCACGGCACGACTCTGAGATTCCGCGATTTCCGCGCGAGAGTTGACATGCCACGCGCGTGCATGGTAGATCGTCCCGGCCGCGGTAGATCGTCGTCGTCGTCGTCGTCGTCGTCGTGGTGGTGGTGATAGTCGTGGTCGTCGTCGTCGTCGTCGTGGTGTTGGTCGTGGCCGTCATCGTCGTCGTCGTGGTGGTGATGGTGGTGGTGGTGGTCGTGGCCGTCGTCATCGTCGTCGTGCACTCGTCAGGATCTGTATTCACCTGCCTAAATTGTTTTATGGAGTAGGTAAAACAATTATTTTTTAATGTTTCGCATAAAAATTTGAAATAAATTTTTATTTTTCTCTTAAAAAACAATTATTAAAATGTATCCTATCATTTTTCAGGATTAGATGTACGTATATGTATTGAAAATGCAGTGTAACGGATTTACCCCGGGGGGTAACGGTTCAACCCCGGCATTTTTGAGATTTCAATTTTTGCACCGTTGTCGTTTTTGCTCTATATCGGTTAAACAAAGCGACGTAGATAAAAATTTTCTGTATAAATTTTGTAGCTAAAGGTTCACTCTTTACAGTGGTATATCACATTTAACTACAATCATTTATTTTGTTGTTAAAAATCGGCACCAAAAAAAACTAGCGGTCTAGCCCCGGTCTCCCTTACACTTATTTTATCAATCAAATAAATCTTTATTCTTATAATCGAAGTTAACAGAACTCTTTCTTTTTGAATATATATATTGACTATATTTTATGGTCATATATGATTATACATAATTATATATGATTATATGTAATTATATGATTATATGTATGATCATATAGAGACAAAATTCATATATTTAATTGCATTATATATAACTATACATATATAATCTTTTTTTCCCGGGTTGTGTGTCTTATGTATGATAAAACTTACAGTGTTAAGTTGTGCTGGATCAGAACCGACGATTAAAAATAATGCAGTGACGCAAATAATTTGAGTCATCGTATTATCTTTACATAACATTCTTCCTACTGTAACAGTCGCTAAAGATTGTGGGAAAAAATCGTATATTTCACGCTCTCGTAGAACTTCCTGGCACGTGTAAAACAAACAAATCAAGTATTAGTATTTTTAGCATGCACATTAAATAATAAAAATTATGATTCATTGTATTTTAAACACTATATTGCTTGCAATAAGGGGTCGCAGATTATAGCAGTTACCATCAATATTGGATAAATGTTAGCAATTTCATTAATTATAGGTGTCACTTTTATCCAAAAACAAGCAGGAGCCAGACTAATAGCCATTTTTATTTTTATATTATATTCTGGTTTTGTTGACAGAAGAGTGAGCAGCGTAGTACCTCCCATTGAATGACCGATATAATATAAATCTTTTTGCTTTGTATAATTGAGAATGTAATCGAACATGGCCGGCAGATCTTTTGTTCCAATCTCGTAAAAGCTGAAAAGAGTAAGAATTATGATATTATTTTACAAAACATTTTCTCGCCCTCTTCTCTATTTGATAAATGTACGCAATCAATTTACAGTGAGAAAACGAGTAAGAAATAAAAGACTTACAATCTTGAGAATTAAGAGAATACTGTGCAAACTTTAACGTTTATAAAACGTGTTATAAGTTTCCTTTTGTTCATTTTCACACATGCTTTACGTCTTTATTGCATATACTCTTTTAGAAATTCCTGACTTTATATTTATATCACTTGGTAAGTATACTCTATTCAGTACAAGTAACGATTATTTTATCATTTTGCTTCATAAATATCTCATTTTTAGGCAGGTCGTACTTTTGATTTAAAATTTATAAGCTTGAGATCTGATGTTCGCTCAAAATAATTTTTAATACAAGTATTTTACCTATATTGCCAGAATTTGGGATCGTATGTCGTCATATTTACATGCGATCTGCAGTAACTATTTCCTCTTACATTTCCAATCCATACGTCATATCCTTGATCTGTCAATAAAAATGCTGCAACATGAGATAATAATAAGCTAATTGACTATTAGTACGATGTACAAAATCGATGAAATGTATATGAAAATGTGTTTTCTTTTCTAAAATTTAAAATCAGTTTTTCAAAAACATTATATTTTGCAATTTTCAAAACTTTAATAATTTGATTAAGCTTCAAATTTTATTTAATTTCACTTCAAATTGGAGAATAACTAATGTTCTATTATGTCTTTGTAATCTTCTTTGACATCTATATCATGAAAAAACTCTTTATTTCCAATAGCTTGATATTAAAATATTAATATTTTTTGCAATGATTTCTTTACAATTATTTAGATGCATATATATAGCATCAAAAATTAAATCGAATCGATTTATTTAATTAGGTGAAGGGGGGGGATTTTACTACTCCAACCGGAGCTGTGTTTCAAGTCTGACAAATCTAGTCGGCACGCAGTCAAAGGTTGGAAAATATGTAAAATAAAAATATAAATAAAACTTTCTCGCATCATTTACTGCGCTGGTCCTTAGTTAGCCCGGTTTATTCGTACAGATTTTCCATTGGAACCTATACTTCAAATTTTAAAATATTAAATAGTATTGTCTTGACATTTTTATATAAAAAAGGCTTTTTGACTATATTTTAAAATAGCACACTTGCAAAAATGTTACAGCATTAATAATTTTCAAGTTATAAGATTTTAAGGTAAAATCTTTTTTCCGCGTTTTTCCAAAAACGCTATATGGTGAAATTTTAAACAATGCTTTGAATTGATTCGCACGTTACATTAACAACTACATGTTATCAGTAAATATACGTACCAAGATCTTTACCAGGACCGTACATTACCCAGGAATCAGATGAAGCCAAAAGACCGTGTTGCATAAATATAATTTCCTTCTTTTTCTTATTATCCGATAATGGACTTCCAGGTATCCTGTGTATTTTCAAATTGTAACCATCCTCCGTTGTGACGTAGTGCTCCTCAGCGGGATAATTATATCGTTCTATCAAGCCAATCTATGTAAAAAAGAATAGCATATAATATGTAACATCAGCGAGATATCATCGTTTTATCTCTATTTCGATTTCGATTAATTTTAAAAGTCAAAAAATATTTACACAACGTTTAGACACTTTTGGCTTAACAATTTAAGACGACGAAATTGTATATGATATAATTTAATCTATATTTATCATAGAACTACAAAGATAAATTTAATTTACTACAAAATACATGTAAATTCAAGACTAAAACTGAAAAGAATTTTTACTTACAAAATCCAATATTTTTCCACTCATCATTTCTTCGACTCGATCCATTCTTCTTACTCTCACTAAACCAGGGTCCTTAGGAAAGAACAAATTTAAGAATTCGTTTTGAAGAAACGACGATATGTTCTGCAATCTTCCTTCTGACTCTTCTGAGAATGTCATAATAATTAAAAATGCAAGAAACATGAATTTCATATCTGATGTAATCATATCACTTATTGCAAAGTAGATTGTAAGAAAAGTCCTATATGTCGGCACAATCTCACTTAAAATACTTTGTGGCAAACTCGAGGCAACTTATTCCTGTAATACGGTCTGCAATGAGAACAAACGCGATAAGTGCTAAGTCGACAATATAATTTAAAAACATTTATTTTAGTTTAGTTATTATAGTTAATATTAAAAATTCCTATAAGTAGGTTTTGAAAAATAATAAATTTGAAGATAATAATGGAGATACATATGCACATGCACATTTAAACTTTTATA